AGATCCAGTAAAGAAGAATGAATTCAAGTTGGAACTGAAGAACAGATTTCAAGCCCTTCAAGATCTGGATGACTGTGAAGTAAACGAAAACTGGGACAAGATAAAAGAGGAAGTAAATGCAACCTGCCAGAGCATCCTAGGACCCAAAGTCAACACCAGGAATGAATGGATTTCACAGGACTCTCTAGACAAAATCAAAAGAAGAAGAGAGCTGAAGGCCCAAGTCAACAACAGCCGTACCCGAACTGAGAAACTCGCTGCACAACAAGAGTACACCGAAGTAAACCGGGAGGTAAAGAATTCCATACAGAAGGACAAGAATACCTACCTGAATGGCCTGGTCGAAAAGGCAGAGAAAGCAGCAACAGACGGGCTCTTGCGGATTGTACATCAGACAGCAAAGACTCTTTCAGGTAGGTTCAGCAAGCCCACTCTACCAGTGAAAGAGAAAGAGGGAAAGGCTATCTTCAACCCAGAGGGGCAACTGAACCGATGGAGAGAACACTTTGATCAACTATTGAACAGACCACCTAGAGAAAACCAACCAGAAACTCTTCCAGCCCGAAACGACCTCCCAATCGCTACGTTACCACCTTCGAGAGAGGAAATTGCTGCAGCTATAACTGCACTGAAGTCCCACAAGGCAGCTGGTCCGGACCATATACCACTGGAAGCCCTTAAGGCAGATAAAGACACATCAGTGGAAATTCTCTATGCTCTATTCGAAAAGGTTTGGAAAGAAGAGGAAATACCGTCAGACTGGAAGGAAGGCCACCTAATCAAGCTGCCAAAGAGAGGGAGACCTCAGCAATTGTAACAACTACAGAGGCATAAATAACACTCCTGTCCATACCTGGGAAAGTCTTTAACAGGATACTCCTGGAGATAATTAAGCTGGCAACAGATGAGAAGCTCAGAGGAAACCAGGCAGGATTCCGCAAGAACCAATCATGTGTGGACCAGATTTCTACCCTGCGCATCATTGTTGAGCGATCGCTTGAATGGAATTCACCACTAGTGGTCAACTTCATTGATTATGAAAAGGCATTTGACAGCGTGGACAGGGAAACTCTGTGGAAACTTATACGGCATTACGGAATACCTGACAAAATTGTCAAACTTGTGAAGACCACCTATGATGGAACAAACTGCCAAGTCTTCCACGAAGGACAACTCTCAGAACCATTCCAGTTCCAGGTACAGACAGGAGTGCGACAAGGATGCCTGCTCTCACCTCTTCTCTTCATACTTGCAATTGACTGGATCATGAAGGAAGCCACCACAGGCAAGCGAAATGGAATACAGTGGATCCCTTGGCAGCAGCTGGACGACTTGGACTTCTCCGATGACCTTGCACTGCTCTCTAACACACATGCTTAGATGCAAGAAAAGACCAAGGAACTCAACAGCCTATCAAGGAGTGTTGGCCTATGTATACACCCGGGCAAGTCGAAAGTAGTGAAGCTAGGTAAAGTGTCAAGCCCTGCTGTGACAGTGGAAGACGATCCCCTAAAAGAAGTGGACTCCTTTACCTACCTTGGAAGTGTCATCGACGGTAAAGGTGGAACTGAGGCAGATGTAAAAGCAAGAATCGCCAAGGCAAGGTCAGCTTTCAAGCAATTATCAAATGTCAGGAAAGCAAGCAACATCTCACTGCACACCAAGATTCGACTCTTTAATTCCAATGTCAAGTCTGTGCTCCTCTACGGCTGCGAAACTTGGAAGACAACAAAGACTGCTGAATAAAGTCTAGACTTTCATCAACAGATGTATGAGGAGTATCCTTAGAATTAAATGGCAGGATAGAATAAGAAATGAAGAGCTATGGGAAAGGACAGGACAAAAGGAATAGAAGTAGAAATAGGACTAAGAAAGTGGCGTTGGATGAGACACACCTTCAGAAAGCCCAGCGGAAACATTACAAGACAGTCACGACAATGGAACCCACAGGGAGCACGAGGCAGGGGTAGGCCACGACGGGAAACATGGAGGAGATGTGTGGAAAGGGACATGAGAGAGATGAAACTCACTTGGAATGAGCTAGGAAGGATGGCCCAGGATAGAGAGAAATGGAAGGAGCTTGTATGTGGCCTATACCCTGCCAGGGGTGAAAGGCATTGATGATGATGATTCACGACGGGTTTGTCTCAGTAAACTATACAAAGCAAGAGCTGTGATTTAGTGTATGTAGCGAGTGCGGGTCAGATGTGTCACCTATATCATAGAATCAGCAACTCCACTAGAAGCCACACCACTGACTGACAGAAGTGACGTCCATCCACTCCCTTCCAGCCAGTCCCCTGGGGCTTCATACTGCATTTTCTCAGTGTGCAGCGCCCCAAGCATCACCATAAACTTGTCCTCTCCCAAGACATCTGAAAATTTCCACGGAATCTTCTTTGTCCATGTAAAGAGCGGCTGATCAACAACCATGACCGGGGTCTGTCCTGGATTCAGTTGCTTTGTAACAGCAGCAACAATGTTCATCCCATGGAATACCATCATTGGACTGTGAGCTGATTCCATAAAAAAGGGAAGCATCATCAATGGGATGACTTGTGACAGCGGAGGTCCAAGCTTGTTAATTTGAAATCTACAAAATATAATATGTACTTCATAATCACATCATGTGACTAACATATTGAATAAATTAAAAAACGGACCTTCTACTTCCAAAATTTTGATTTCAATGGTTAAGGCATCCCCAAAAACATATAGATCTATATTTTGACACCATTTTCATGTCATTCATTCATTGTTTATGGAAGCAACATCGATGCACTCCGGACATGTCCATTGATGCTCCGTTGCTCTCTCCAAAATGTTGCCGAGGGTCCTTCCACTGATTGTGCCAGTGCACATCTGGTTGAACATTCTTCTGTTCTTTCCTGCAAGGATGACAGATTTTCTGCTTCCTTTTTGTATTCCCAAAAGCATCATCCTCTCCACGGCAGTACTGGCCTCTGCCTCCCTATCTACCTCCTCAATCAGCTGGCGAGAGAGACATTTCAGGACCTCGACCCTATCTGGTTGAACCGTATCATCAACTAAGGTGGCCTCACCACAGCCAATCTGTCAGCTTTTTCATTTCATGCATGGCCTTGAAAATCGAAGATGTGTACGATAATATATGAGTTATTTTCATTTTGCTTGATTTTTCAACGGCGGCCATTTTTAATTTATGCAAATTTGGGTGAAATTAAGCAGATACAGCTTGTAGTGTCCGTTTATCAAAATTCTTAGCTTTGTTCAAGGTACAGTCGAACCTGCTCTGACGGCCACCTCTATAATACGGCTACCTGTACAAACGGCCACTTTCCATTTCCCCCCTTGCGTTTTTTCTATATATATAATTTAACTGTGTAAAACGGGCACCTGTCCAACGCGGCCGCGGCCAGCATATTTATAATTTTAACACACAACCCCTATCACAATAAGCAATGTATAACACCTGTCTTTGACGGCCACCTTAGTGACTCCATTACGTTTTGTCATAAATTGTACATTGGCCCCTGTCGTTGTGGGCGAGCCGTCATAATTCAATCCCCTGTCGTTGTTGTTAGGTAGTCCCTCCAACTGATCATGATGCGTAGGCCCCTCACACTGTTGACCAATAGCTACCAATTTTCAGCTGCTGGTGAGGTAAGCATGTGATCCCTCATAACCCATAAGCCCCGCCCAGAACTCATACACAAATCCTAAGTGAGATGAGTGGTCACTGTTTACCCAGTCTGTAACAAAGTAACAAAGGACGTCAACATGAACTTGTGACAGAAGCGTCGCTCGTTCTCCGAGTGGTGGCCACCTACGTGTTTGTTTTAACATGCCACTCGGTCTTCCTCGTCTGATACATTTCGTTTTATTGTCACCCTTTTTGTGCAAAATCAGCAACAAAATAAAAATTACAAACAAAATACAAACGAAGTGGCTAGCCGTACTTAAGTACGGCTAGACTAGACTGCCAGTCTAGCCGTACTTAGATCTAGGTTTGGCCCTATCGACTCAAACCTGTTAAGTACACAGGTCTCATTAGATCTAGAATCTAGATCTAGATCTAGTAATTATTCAGGTTCAAATACAAGGAAGTCAGTAAGGTACCTTTTGGTTTTGTCTGAAATACAAATACTTTAGGACTTTAGGCATTGCAAACTAAAAATTTCATTTACAATTCAGCCATCGATACTAGCCGTCCTTAAGTACGGCTAGCCAGGCTGTCTACCCGTACTTAAGTACGGCAGGCCAAGAAGTCTAGCCGTACTTATCTTAGGCCCTATTAACATTAATAGAAAACAGGAGGTTTAAAATACATGCACTGTCATTAAGGCACCTGGTTTCGTCTCAAATACAACTTTAGGTACTGCAAACTAAAAATTTATATTTACAATTCTGTAGGACTATTTTTTTTTAATGGTCAGTCTAGCCATCAAGAATAAGTACAGCTAGCCCAGCTGTCTAGCCGTACTTAAGTACCAACAACAAAAACAACAACAATGCGGCTACTTTCGATTGGGACCTCAGATGAGAATGGTCTGTTTTCTTCATCTTGATCAGTCCTGCCTAAGACGGTCACCTGTCTTATACGGCCACTTTTCTCCTTGACAATAGGTGGCCGTCTTACACAGGTTTGACTGTACTTGTGCGCCAAGTGGCATGTTCCTACTAAAATTTGCAGTGGCAGTTAGGGAGCCCACTATCCTGTAGATGAGCAGATTAGAATTAGATCTACAATCTAGATCCAGATTGTAGATCTAGATTATATATATATATATATATATATATATATATATAGAGAGAGAGAGAGAGAGAGAGAGAGAGAGAGAGAGAGAGAGAGAGAGAGAGAGACCTAATCTAGATCTAGATATCTAGATCTAGATATCTAGATCTAGATCTAATCTAGATCTAGATTAGATCTAGAATCTCTAGAGAGAAAACACGAGAAAAGGGCTGAGAAAAACGCTATTAAATAAGGTAAATGAAAAAGTACATGTGTAAATTCTTACATTTCAGGGTCCTTTGGAAAGCTAAAGAATGCTAGATCTAGGTGTGGTAATTATGCGATCTTGAATTGGCACGGATACAGACTGCTGCAGAACACCACTTAGCGTACAATGCGGGTGACTTGCGACTGCCGACAGCCGCCATTTGCTTTGTTTACGTACCGCGCCTTGTTTCACGATCAGCTGGTGACCTAGATTCGCGCTAAGAGGCCTCGTTTCTGCTCTCTATAATTAGGCCAATATAGGCCCTACCAGAGACACTAAAATATAATTAAATACTCTCTGGCCCTACCTAGACGGTCAGAGAGTATAAGAACGTATCTATATATTATATATATACATAGCCTAATAGGCCCATACTCTATGGTTAAACGTTGTAAGGTCCTTGGGTGAAACCAGTGAAACCATAGAGTTTGGCCCTAGGCAAGGAGATTAAAAGTTCTAAACTCCTTGGCCCTAGGCTTTCTCAGTCCTGAGAAGGCCTAGCCCTACCCACTTTTAAACATCTATGGGTGAAACTAATAAGCGGCGTTTGTATAAATTAGAATTAGAATTTTTAAATGGTTGCGCTGACAAAAATCCTCTTCAGGTGGAAGGGACGACTGTTTTCTTCGTTTAATTTGGTTTTAGAACGAGAGGTGAGAGGTCATTAAAATAAAATAAAGTCTGCCATTTTCCCCACCGAATAAGATTTTCTCTTATTCCCACAGCCGTGAGGGGATTTTAAAATATTCTACTCCTTTTTTACTTAAGTGTGTGTGTTCTTGTGCGCATGATTTAGTTTTACTTTCATTCATATTTTTGGCCGTTTTCTTTGCTTTCAACGGGATTGATTTGATATATAGAAATCTAGATCTAGAGTTCTAGATCTAAGACAGAAAGCATTCAGAAGCTAGTAAGTGACGTTTTTCTCCTTGGCATTAGATCTAGAAAATCTAGCACTCTCGTAGCAACTCTCGTTTGAGTTTGAATGTGCTCAATACAGTGGAAACTTGATATAACAAGGATGGTGGGACCAGAGAAAAAGTCATGTTATATCAGATCCCTGTTAAATCAGAAATGCAAGAGAAGTAAGCATTTGTGGACTAATCCTGTTGTATTTATTCATGGGTATATTCCCTTGCTACAAGTACTAAAGTACCCACGAACATGACACATTACGCGTGCGTGTAGCAGTGTAGCTAGGCTTAGGGCTAGATCACGGCTTAGGCTTAAGGCCCCTTTAGACGTACAGTTCGATGATCGACAAACTGACAGTTTTACCGACGGACGCTCGATCTGTGTCATCGGTAAACTGAAAGTTTGTCGACGAGAGAAGTTCCGTTTGTTGTAGCTAGATCTAGGTCAAAAACGTCAACAATAGCTGAAGCAAGCTACATGGATAATTTGGCAGCATTTTTTGTTCTCAAATCCAAAAACAAATCTAGAAACAGGACCATCTGGGCTAAAGAATGGCTATTAGAAAGAAGTACCTACACACACAAATATTCTATTTCCACAATACTGGCAACGTTCGATAATGTTCGTTCGATGAACTGTAGAATAGTTTACTTTTTTGGTAGCCCCCCCCCCCCCCCCTTCCAATTACTATTCGCCGGTTTTGGTCCCAAGAGTGTTTCAGGGAGACAGAAATCTAATAAGAATGTGGAGGGGGGTTCAAAGGGGGGGGGGGGGGCACTTTACCATGATTTGATGTTTTGCGTTAGGTTTGATATCTCTCGCTCGCCGCGCATCAAACATAACTTCTGATCTAAATCTAGATCTAGATCTCTAGGTCCAAATAAGCGGGGTGGGAACTATCGAAAAGACACCCAGTTCTTGTTATTCCACACGGACATTGTACTAGAACTAGGCTAGAACTTCTAGTAGAAGACCTGTGGAATAGTAAAACTGGTAGCGTGTAGACAAAAACAAATAAATAAACAGCACTGTCTATATGAAACAATGGTGTGTAGCCTTCAGCTGACTCCAACACGGACATTGTAGTCATTGTAGTAAAACTAGAAGACATTTGCAATAGTAAAACTGGTAGCGTGTAGATTAGACCAAAAAAAATTAATTAAATAAACAGCACTGTCTAGATCTACTGTTCTAGAATAGTCTAGATGAAACAATGGAGTGTAGCCCTCAGTACCTACACACACACACACACACACAAATATTATATTTTTCCACAATGCTGGGAACGTTCGATAAAGTGCGATGAACTGTAGTAGTTTACTTTTTTGGTAGCCCCCCCCCCCCCCCCCCCCCAAATTACTATTCGCCGGTTTTGGTCCCTAGAGTAGATGTAGGGGGGGGGGGGGCAGCTAGAAATCTAATAAGAATGTGGAGGGGGTTTCAAGGTTGGGGGGGGGGGGGCACTTTACGTAGGCACTTCAGTGAACGCGCTCACTATAGCGTCATTTGGCTTCGGAAAGTCCCATAGGGTTTTGTTTCCGGACATGACGTCTCATCGCGACAGTGGGTTCAAACTGCCCATATTTTTGTTTAATTTAGGGGACCAACAGTCAAGTCCGATACATGTCTTTAAAGACCTGTGGATGGCCTTCAAAACGCTTCTTTCCAGGTCGATGTGCGACTAATGAGTTTCGAAATATTTGAAGTTGAAAAATAGACAATTTTTAACCATTGATTTTTGATAAATTTTCTCGTCATATTTTTTTCAAACTACCCTTGTTGGTAAACCTTTCTTTGTTCTTCCAGAAAACGTTTAAATGGTTATCGTAGAAGTCTTACCTTGGCTAGTGTAGTCTTACCCTTTTATCAACCAAATCCGCGAAAACCTAGCTGAACCCTTCCACCGCGACATCGCGCAGAGTCATGACGTCACACATTTTCGCCTTCAGCTTTTGGCTCCCTCTCTTCATTGTTTGAAATGTACGAGACAGGGAAATACATCGCCAAGAGATTTTTAAACTTTAGTTCAAAAAGTTAATCAATTTTGGTAATGTTTTATAATCACTGACCTCACATTGTGCCTTAGTTCATTCGATAGTATAAAGAAAACGAGACTTTTTAGACCCAAGTATTTCCTTTTCACTGAGCTCCCCCCTCCCTCCTTTTTTCCCCCTGCCCAAAGCCTTTCATTGCGTAGGCCTAGGGCCTAGGTCTAGTATGAAGAGTCCGGACTCGTGTTGTTAACATAACAGTCAAACATTAAATTGGGACGCCTAATTATCTGATGCAATTATTTGTTTGATAAAGTTTCTTAGGTCTATTGTTAGTACCGATCCAGATTTTCTTTCTTTTCTGTCGTATGAACAAGAACGAAAAATGCTATGTACTGGATTGTGGGATCCACTACATGCCCCCCACCCCCCAC